CATTCAGAAAAGAAGGTAGGCATTGTGATGGCTTAATTTAAAAGAAGAGAGATGAACACGAATGAGACAGAGAATGACCTGTAACTCAATGTTGTATTGTGGAGTGCTGCCATTCAGTATTCTAGCCACTTAATGCCATTCCACACCCAACCCCTTCACGTTCTGTTCCCCTACCACATTCAGTCAAGTTTCCACAGCCACTAACCATGCTCAGTCTTTATTGAGCTGTTTAAAGTACCTCATCCACTTTAAATTCCCTGCTTTTTAAAAAAGGTATCTTTGCAAACCTTTTGGCTCCTTTCATGCATCCTCCTACTTTTCTCTGTGCATGTGTAAAACAATGCTTTTGTATCAGAAGAAATGGTGATAATGGCAATTGAGTTCAAAGAAATGGATGATGGATTGTCATTTATTATGCAGTAACAGTTCTCAGGTATGGGAAGTCCAATTCAGCAACAGAAATGGCAAAGATAATCCAAATTACATTATTCAAATATTGTATATCATGCAAATTAAGCGCTTTGCTTCATATGATTCACTGACTTCTCTAGTTTTACTTCAGTTTTAGCTCTCCTTTAAGGCATATTGATTACACTTCCACAGTACTTAAAATAACAGAGATACAGAACTGCCAAGTTCCAAAGACTTGCCTAGATTATCAAATCCAACTCCTGTCAATGCAAGAATCCACAACTAAAGCCTCCCTGACAGATGGCCATCCAACCTTGGTTTAAGAACTTCCAATTAAGGGAATAATCCATTCCATTGTCAAACTGCTTTTGTTGTGAGAAAGTTCTTCCTAATGTTTAATAGAAATCTCCTCTCTTGCTACTTGAGCCAAGTAATTCAGAAGTTGCAGGAAGCAAATTTACTCCATTTCCCCTGCTTTCCATGCACTTTGAAGATGGCTGTCATATCACCTTTCAGTGTTCTTCAGTGTTCAGCATTTTTGAAGACTGCTATCATATTGCCCCTAAATATTCTATTTTCTGCATGAAACACTCTCAACTCTTTCTCAACTCCTCCTCCTAGGACTTGATTTCCGGACACTACACAAATTCTGGTTGCTTTTCTCTGGGCATGTAGCTTAAATGGTGATGTCAAAACAAGGCACGGTCCTCCAGATGAGCTTTGACCAAATGTGCCACTATTAAGTGAATGTGATCTGGACGTTTCTGTACATGTCTATTCAAATATGAGGAAACTGAGATTAATGCGTTTATGCCTGTTAATTAATATAGGAATGCAGCTCAACTGGGTGATACAAAGCAGTCTGATTTTTCACTCTTCTGAATCCATTATCCTGCAAATGTTCCTTTCTAGCCGCCTAGAGTGGCCTTAAGTGGCTAGATAGGCGGGATATAAATAAATAAATAAATAAATAAATAAATAAATAAATAAATAAATAAATAAATAAATAAATAAATAAATAAATAAATTTCCTCAAATGTAAATATCATGATTTCCAACTCCCTTGTTCGTTCAGTCGTTTAGTTGTGTCCGACTCTTCGTGACCCCATGGACCAGAGCACGCCAGGCCCTCCTGTCTTCCACTGCCTCCTGGAATTGGGTCAGATTCATGTTGGTAGCTTCGGTGACACTGTCTAACCATCTTATCCCCTGTTGTCCCCTTCTCCTCTTGCCTTCACACTTTCCCAACATCAGGAGCTTTTCCAGAGAGTCTTCTCTTCTCATGAGATGGCCAAAGTATTGGAGCCTCAGCTTCAGGATCTGTCCTTCCAGTGAGCACTCAGGGTTGATTTCCTTCAGAATTGATAGGTTTGTTCTCCTTGCAGTCCAGGGGACTCTCAAGAGCCTCCTCCAGCATCCAACTCCCTACCCACCTATATATATATATATTTGACTATGTTTAGTAGACCCTTAGTGAACTGTGTTCTCATGTGTTTGTGGGAGTAGGAGTGTGCTCCAGAGTCTGAAAAAAGTGACCTGCTAGTGTGAGAGGATTCCTCTCTCTGGTGCCATCTTGATAGAAAATAGCCAAATGTGTTGCATCTGAAGACTGGTAGGTTGGGGGGGTGGCATGCCTATTGAGCTTCTTTGGCAAATGAGCAATGAAACTTTTCTTATGCATCCAGCTGTGGATGGGTAGCTTCAAAGTCCCTACTTTGGGTTCTGTACTTTCAGATCAGATTTGCATTGAACAGCCCTTCAATAAGAGGGCACCTTCAAAAGGAAGATTGTCCTCTGGCAGCCCTTCACTGTAGATGATTGCTTTGCATAAATGTGGACAGGCAGCCACCCTTTCCCCCCAGCCCAGCAGACCTCCTTTTACAGTCATGGCCAAAAATATTGGCATCCTTGCCATTCTGACAAAATTGCAAGGGTGCCAATATTTTTGCCGTGATTCTATAAGAATTCTCCCTTCCCTTGTAACAACTGTGCCATCTCTAGGCCTGCATATCCAAAAGGGCACACCCTGGAGTCACTTGGAGGAACAGAGAGGCTTAGCAGCCACTGGATCCACAGCTATCTCTGCTTTGCCCTCTCAACACCTTGCTTTGAGACCATTTGCTTGCAGAAATATCACCAGCAATAGACATATGTCCACACGCCTTTCCTTGGGTGTGGAAGGGCCATTGGGGCAGATGCTTCCTCCTTGCCAGCAGATCTTCTGGCCTCCAGTGGAAAAGCATCACCACCTTTTTATAACACACCTTGGACAATAGTCCAAGGGTGGTTAGGCTTGCACTATTAAACTCTGAAAACTATTCATAGATATTTGGACAATAAATTCAGTGCACTATTCAAACAGAAAAGCATGGTAACTAAAAATGATGGTGGTTTTGTAAAGAAGCATGTATAAACAATTATCCACTATTCAGGTGTAATGATTTTAATTTGATGGGTAAACTTTCCAAATGAAGTGCACCTAGCTTAAAGACTATGATGATGTTGTAGGCTGTAATCACTATATAACATATCCAAGGATCTGTAGACACTAAAACTACTGGAAAGTGACAATCAGTTAAAAAGTACTCAGTGGAATGACAAACACTGGCAAAGTCTTAAGATTTTCAGGCAAATTCTTCTCTCTGTCCTACGAAATTATTTGATGCTCGTTTAGTTGGACCATGGCAGACTATTCTTCATGCTTGTGCTCACGTTCTGGAAGAAGCCTCACAAGGAGATCCACCTGCACCCTCCTCCAATGATCTCTGATGACAGGGAAATTTCTGCCTGTTTAGATAGGCCTGTGGTTTAATTAAATGTTGCTGCTCCTTCCTTAAAATAATATCAGCCAGCTACTTTTTATGTCCTTTATTTATTTATTAGTATCAGAGCATTGCACAATTTAAAATTATGGGCATGTAAGAAATATAGGTAAAATTAAAAGCAAACTAAAATGTTAAGATAATTAAACTTTTTTTGACCAAACATGGGCTATTTCAGTAGCGTTGTCTCAACCATTTGCTGGATCTTTTTGTAGACATGGTGGGACATAAATTACACGCACGTAAGTACTGCATTGATCGAATTTTCCCACAGTCACAGAAAATGTGTCCTTTATCTAAGTAGCCTCATTTTGCTTGATTATTCTTTCATCTTCCCACTTTGCTTTAAAATCTATTAAGTGACTTCCAGCTAGAAGCTTGTCCTGTTGGGAGACACTCTTCATCTTTCATCCACTTAGCAAGGTGTGTTGGTTTTCGTTCTCCGTAGGCTTGGTCTAACCTTTTCTGGTTTAACATTTAGCGCCTGAGATGTGTGCAGAAAAGTCCTGACCAGGTTATCTGCTCGTTTTAATATATTAGCTATTTAACAAGTTTATTCTTGTGTGTGTGTGTGTGTGTGTGTGTGTGTGTGTGTGTGTGTGTGTGTGTGTGTGTGTGTGTGTGTGTGTGTGTGTGTGTGTGTGTGTGTGTGTGCTTAAGTGCTTTTGATATGTTGTAGAAAAGGAGGACAAAACATTAACTAACAAGAGAAAGAAGCAAAGAATGCTCACTTATCCCAACCCTGCAGCTGCTGTCCATGAGAACTATATATGGTTCATCTTTCTTCTGCAGATAGAGGGAGATCAGGAATGCTACAGTCACCTCGTCACTCCTGTATTCATTTCATTTCATTTTGCACAGAGCAGAGGCGCTGGCAGTTATCTGACGGTCATTTACATATGGTTGTTTACCCCCGCACGTTCAAGCAGCAAGGACCGAGCACCCCCGGGCTGCCCTCTCCAAGCCGCCCTCCTCGCTCCTTCCGTTCGCAGATAGAGGGAGATCAGGAATGCTACAGTCACCTCGTCACTCCTGTATTCATTTCATTTCATTTTGCACAGAGCAGAGGCGCTGGCAGTTATCTGACGGTCATTTACATATGGTTGTTTACCCCCGCACGTTCAAGCAGCAAGGACCGAGCACCCCCGGGCTGCCCTCTCCAAGCCGCCCTCCTCGCTCCTTCCGTTCATCCTGCCCTTCAGTTTGACTCTTGGAGTTTCTTTATAAGTACTACTGGCTTAGAAGTGTTTTTCACACTGTATATATACACACATGCCATGGTACCCATGACAATTCAGATTTGTACTGGCATTAGAGCATCAAGAGATGGGAAGGGAGAATGGTCAGGGATGCGATGGGGCAGCAAAATGGAGTCCCAATGGGAAAAGCTGTACAGGTCACCTGTTGAAAAGCTGGGCTGAGGATCAGTGGCTCCTAACAGCATAGGCTGTAGCTAAGGAAGGAATGCCTTTTCTTTGGCCCTTCCCTAGTCTACTTGTATTTATTTTTGACTCGGGAAGCATTGTAGATCTGTTCCAATATTCCTCCATATGCTGTAGAATTACTGTAAGTGCTAATGGAACACAAAAGCACAGCTGGCCCTTCCATTAAGCAAAGTGAGGCAGTGCCTCAGGTTGAGAGCATGCTGTGAATCATGAGTTATGCCATTTTCCCCACCAGATAGTGCCTGCCACCATAGCTACATCCTTCCACCATCACCTCCCTTTCTGCCTCGCCTTGCTATGCCTCCTCCTCCTCCTCCTCCTCCTCCTCAGCATCACCAGGCGAAGGCGGGGAGCGGGGGCTGATGCTGGGCTCCGAAACAGCCTCGGCGGAAGGGAAAATGGATCCAGCCTGCCCAGCCCTCCTCGCCGTTCAGCATCTTCCCTCCGTCGCAGCCTGGTGAGCATCAGCCAGAGTGAAACCCTTTTTAAAATGTTATTTTTGGGTCCTTCGCTGGTTTCTTTTTCAAGGCGGCGGCGGCGGTGGCGAGGGTGGGGTAGGGGGAGAGGGATGCTGTGGCGGAAGATCTTTGACATGGGGCGGCGATGGGTGTATTTGCAATGTGTGTGTATGTGTGTGTGTGGAGGGGGAGGTTTCCCCATCCCCGGCGCTGGCACCTTAATCGGGTAACAATGACTTTCATCTCAGCCGCTGGAAAGGGTGGGGGAGGAAGGAGGGGAAGGGAGGGATGTGGGGGAGAATGAGGAGAAAGGAAGATGGAGAGGGATGAAGGCTGATGAGGCGCCGTCTGAGGAAATGCGGCTTAAGGATTACTCCCGAACCATCCTAGGGAAAGGGGATGCTTTGAGATAGAGATGCATCTATATGGCTTTCCTTCCATTAGAAAAACAAGGGTGTGTGGTCCCTTGAGGGCCATCCTGACCATCACCACCCAACCCCCCCCCCAAAAAAAAAAACCAAACACGCAGTTGCTGTTTCTGGAAGGTTTTTCCATAATGCCTTGTAAATTCCCTGGCTCTTGGGCTGGGCCTTACTGAAGGACAATTTGCCGTAACCAGCTGCGGCAATGCCAGAAATAGGCAACGTTAGATTTCCCTCCGTGACCTATATTGATGCTGGTTTATGTGTATCATCTGGTACCATACTTAGGGCATTTCCAGAAAATTTGGGGTGGACGCAGTGTGTGCGGAAGCCTCTGTGTGTGGCCGTGTTAAAGGCACACCTGGATTTCTTTATGCACAGGACATGTGCTAATTCCCTTGACAGTGAAGTGAATGAGTGAGTGAGTGAGTGATTGACAGCATATTCCACTTGGGCTGTTAGGAGTGATTGATGATCCCCTAGTTCCATTTCAGTGGCTTAAGCTAGACCTATATTGTTTGTTTGGTATGGTGTATGGCACTTATTCACAACCTCTCTTGGTTTGCTGTCATGGCTACTGTATTATCTACTAGCTGACCACAATGGGAACAGAATACAGGACTAAATGGGTTTAGGCCTCATCCAGCACAGTTTTTTTCTGACATTCTTAGAAAAATACTGTTACAATGAATAGTAGTTGGACAGGCTTTTTAATGGCAGGGGAGCATTCATCACAACTCATTTCTAGTTACCACTTCATTTTGATGCTTCAGAACCAGAAGAATCATATCACTGCTGCTACAGATTTTCCTCTCCCTGCTGTGGCTCAAATGCTCGCTCCCTCCATCTTCTTGAACTTTAGAAAGTAGGTTATTATGGTAAGAATCATCAGCCAAATCCATAAAACTTAGTGTGGTTGTACAAAATGTGAGATTATGTCTGCTACTGTAGAGTGGTATGCACAGGCAGCTCTGTACGTTTGACCAAGTGATCCACAGCCATGGCTTATGGCAAAAAAAAGCTGTTGGCCTTTTAAGATGCCACAAAACTCCTTATTGGTTTTGCTGCAACTGATTTACACTGGCACTGACCCTCATCCCTGGAATACCCACTATTATGCACCTGAGGAATATGTGGTCCCTTCTGCATTACCCATAAGCCTTTACCCATGGCTATGCCGGCTATTATTTAAATAATAAACATAGATTATAAGAACTATGGTTCAGAAACCTTTGGAAAAGGACAGGTTTGTCACCACTGGTTTAGGTTCATGTCAATGCAGAAATGTCCTGATATATGTTCTGGATGGATTTCCCATATTTATTCTACCAAGAGGAATACATCTAAATGTCAGGATTAGTGTAGATTTAGGTAGCACAGGTTTAAGAGGAAGATTTTGTTATAAATTTACTTTATAAATTTTGTTATAAATTTACTTTATAAATTTTAGATCCTGGGGAACCTAAACTTATTCCTGCAAAAGTATGCCACCCGAAGGCATCAGTAGTTGTATATTCCTAGTTCCCAGGGAGGAAAACATGCTTTCCCCATCCATAAAACTGTAGAGCTTTTTGAAGTGCAGTGCCAAATGTACCTTTGTTACTTGCTCACTTTGTTCAAGGGTAGGCAATTTGTAGTCCTGCTTTTGTTGTTGAATTGCAATTCCCATCATTTCCCAACACTGTCTGGGCTTCCTAGGCTGGTTGGAGTTTCAATCCAACAATATCTGAAAGGCCAGAAGCTACCAAACCATGGTTAGTTAATCAACCGGAATCTGATTATTTAATCTCATGTCCAAGTGAATTTTATCAAACAAAGGGAAAGTGCCATAAAGTCACAATGTGCTGTTCCTTGTCAGTGTTTTCAGTCACCTTGGAAGAACTGGCTCTACAAATAATCCCACAGTCAATATTTTGGTATCACAGGGGAGATATTACATCCATTATCTTCATCCCAGTAATGTGGTAAGTGCTGTGGAAGACACAAGCATGGTACAGATCCTGGCCAGTGGGGTTACAACAGAAAGAATTTATAGTACAATAAATGCACATGCATTTTTCATTTGCAGCACATAGTCAATCTTTTCTCAAAATGCCCCATTTTTCTCTTAAATGCTTCCCCCCTTTTCTCTCTCTCCCAAATACTCTTAGGAGTGGAAAGTGTGAGTGTGATAATCAAATATCTCTACACATTCGTATATCATACTGATAGCTATATTAGAGAAAGAACTAAGGTCATCTGGGTGATTTATTACAGCGGGTGAACATACTAGGTTTGTTGCCTGAGTCTTTTAAAATGAATTTGACCAGGAGGGTGCATAAATGCCACAAAACAGATTTGAACTATGGCTAAATATAGACCGTTAATGACAGAAAGTGTCAAAAAGTGTGAAAAGTAGACACTGCTGACATTATCCGCAAGCAAAAACAATAAATGATTGATAGATTTAATTTATTTACTTTCTCTTAAAAGTTTTAATTTTGTTAATTTGTGGACTTTTAAAAAATTTATGATGAGGTAACAAAAGACATCAATGGAGGACGGTGAACTATAGAGTGAAACCTGGTCAGCCATATGTCCCTTGGTTAATATGAAACTTACTACTATGCGAAACATCTCAGAAGCCCTGTTTTCTTTTAATTAGTTGTAAAATAGCTTTTTTCCTCTCAGCTGCTGCATATATTGCTTGTAAGATTCTGTGGAATATAATTATCTGTGTACAATAGGCATCTGACACTTATTGTCTTTTACGTGAGTGATGACAGAGTTGGGCTCAAGGTTGGCCAGGATGGGCTCAAGGTTTGGGGCAATAGTTTGACAGGCTGCCCCCATTTCCCTCCACCCTCACTATACGATACTGCTTTAGCCCCTAACCTTCACTGCCCCAGACCAGTGGATGTGTGGGTTCACTTGGTGAAAATGTGATCGTCATATGAAAATTGAGTAGCCAATTGGCAGCTGGTGACCAAAATCTTTTATCTTTCTCATCATTGTGGGAGATAAAAGTATGGTGACTTATGAATGTAGATGGAACTCAAGCGGCCTGCAGAAATCATGGTGAAAGCACCTTTGCCTGAGGCAAACCTTTTTCGGCTCGAGTGCCCAAAATGAGGGCGTGGGGAAGAAACCAGTGGCTGCCATGCCACCCGGAAGACCAGAACTGGAAGTGGCAGTTTCAGGGGGAATCATGGGGATGGACAGGAAGTTAAAGGGTGAAATCATGAGGACAGACAGGAAGTTAAAGGGGGAATCATGGGGACAAACAGGAAGTTAAAGGGGGAATCATGGGGACAAACAGGAAGTTAAAGGAGCCAGAACAGGAAGAGAAAGGGGGAATCCCAGCTGCAGCCACTTCAAAAGATTTGTCGCGTGCCAGAAGAAAGGGCTTTGCGTGCCAGCTGTGGCACACATGCCATAGGTTCTCCATCATTGCCCTAGGCTATTCCTGTCCCTAAGATGTGTATATGAAACATTCAGCTTTGGAGATTGCATCTCTTTCATCTGAAAATGGCTAAATGCAGACCCATAAGTGCTGTCTTGTTAGTGTCTATCTCTGTGCAGTAGGAAGGCAAAACATTAAGCTAAAACAGAAAGCAGCTGCTAACTAATTCCCTAACAGCATAGCAGACCCTCTCACCCTTTCAAATAATTGTTATCCTCAAGACTGTCATCTGGTGTGGAAAGAGGTGTGTAGTTTTTCTCATTACTACTTGAGACCTCTTATGTTGTATATTCAATATTGTAATACCACAGACCTACAGTAATATATCCCGGACTTTGTTACAGTCAGTATGAATGCTTGTATATTCACGCTGGGGAGATGAGGAATTGCAATAGTCTACTGAGATGCCCAGGATAGAACAGGGATTCTGTTGATATACTACCCACTTCGCTGTGCAACTGTCTCCCTGGCTGAGCTCATCTCAGGCGTCGTGCAGCAGTCACCTCACCTTGCTGAACTGGGAGACCTCAGCATCCCTGCAGGGACCAGTTTATTGGGAGCAGCTCAGGACTTCATGTCTACCATGGGGCTATGTCAAGTGGTATCTGGCCCTACTCATGTGGCAGGCCCACTCTTGACCTGGTTTTTCTGTACTGAGCAGGATGATCATGATCTGGGTGTGGAGGAATTCTCAGTAGCTCCGTTGCCATAGACTACCTAGTAGAGTTTAAACCAGGGTCTCCAAACTTTGCAGTATGAGGGCCACATCATATATTTTACATATTTTCAAGGGCCAAAGGAAGGAAGGGGGACCCAAGCAATCCCCCACCCCACTGTTTTTACCCCTTCCCTCCTTTTCCTATGCCCAGAGCAGATAAAAAAGGCAAGGCAGGCCATATGTGGCCCAGGGGCTATAGTTTGGAGACCCCCCTGGTTTAAACTAATGGAAACTCTGAGCCTCTGCAGTGTGTGTGGCAATTAAAATGGTCAGCCCTAGGAGATCCTGTTGAGGCCTTGGTGAATCTCTGGAATGCAGAGGTGGCCAGGGCTATTGACATGACCACTCCTAAGTGTCCCATCCCAAAGAGTGCATTCAAACCTGCTCCTTAACTTACTAAGGAACTGGGGATGATTAAATGAGTGGGATGGAG